AGATTATGTTTTTTTTTATCCTCTCCTACTCTGATTTGATTGGTAATAAATTAAACTAATTTTATCAAGTTGGGTCTGTTTTGCCCATGACGTAACTGGCGAATGATCTCTCCCTGCCCTTACCTCAACCCACGAGCCTTTTGATCTATTTTTTCTCTGCCCTGTCTGGTTAAGGAGGGGAATGATAGAGTGGCTTTGGTGGGCCCCTGGCATCCAGCCAGCGTCAACCCATCACACAGATAAAGCCAGCTCTCAGGCTGAGAGCTGCAGGACATTTTGAGCATTTTGAATCTCTTGTCTTCCTGCTGGTGACCAGTACAGCAACCACGCAGGACGGGGTGCACATTTGTTGTGTGAGCTGTGCTGTGTCTTGTTCTGCATCACCAATAGTCTTCGCCAAATGTAACACACTGCAGTGGTAAAATCAGAGGCATAAAAAAGGCACAGGTGGTGAAAGTTTTACCATGTATAGTCAGTCTTTAGACTAAGCGTTATGCCGAAGCCCATCTCTAGTGGCTAGCACCCTCATTCTTAAGTTGACAACAATGTCATGCAAAAGGAGTGTGCTTTCACCTACAGATTGAACTTTAATTACTCGTTAAGTTAGTATCACACTGAAAATGTGTCCTCAACACCCTGCCAGTGAGGAGGACAACAGTGTTACACTGAGTGGGGGAGATAGCTGCTGAAGGAACTCCTCACAACAACCCTAGCTTTTTTATCAAATGTTGGGAGATAACGGGTCCTTTGGGATGAACCTATGTGTCCCCCCCTCCCCCAGGCAAAATGCAGGAATTAATGTTCACAGGCCTAGTTCTCAGTCTGAAGCCAGAGAAACAACTTCAGAAAGTAAGTCATCTCTGTGTATGTGTCCTACCAAATGTGCCCAGCGTGGGCCCACAAGAGATCACAGCAAGGCCACAGCTTTCACTCCAGGCCTGGTAGGCAAGCTGAACATTTTGGGTGATCATCTGAATCATAACAGAAGCAATGGCAAAATAGGACCCTTCCTCATCGCATTTGGGAATCTGCAAGCTACAGAGGCACTGAAGGCTGAGGGCAGGTAGCATTAAACCTCATTTTCCAGTGATGCTTACTTCTTGTATCTAACGTATAAATACAGGGCTACAAAAAGTAAAACCAAAATTAACAACGGTTTTCAGCTGCAATGATACTTTAAAAAAAAAAAGTGACTTTGTTGTTTTATTTCCTGTTAGCTAAATTTTTTTTTTTTTTGTTATGAAATCAATGACAAAGCTCTTTGACTTCACGAAATACCTTGTGAAATGGTCAGTAAAAAATGTCAGAGTCAACTTTAAACAAAACCACAGAATCCTTGAAAACTGTTGGCTGAAAAAGACCCCTGGAGCTCACCCAGTACAACCTCCAGCCCACAAAAGGGCCAGCTAAATGAGGTTGCTCCAAGGTGGGAAGACCTCCAAGGGTGGAGGTCTGGGCCTCATCCCAGGCAGTAACCACCCAGAGGAGAAAAGGCTCCTCTGACCTCCTGGCAATGTCCTGTACTGCAACTTGTGCCTGTTGCCTTTGGGGCTGTTGCTGTGCCCTTCTGAGACGAGTCTACCTCCATCACCTCTGCGCCCCATGGGAGCTGACTACAGCCAAAAGGGCTCCCTGGCACTTTCTCATCCCCAGGCAAAAACAAGGCACTAATCACTGTGAACTTATGCGACTACAGACTATTCATGGTTAACACAAAGGTCTGGTGAAGGTTAGATGAACAAGGACATGCTGAGGATCCCTACTAACCTAATCGCTTAATCAGTAATTTTTAGTCATTTATTTATATGATAATCTAATCACTCACTAAGCAATTAGACAATTGTCCCTGATGTGAGCCAACCAGGATTAGTCAACCAAAGAAAATCCTCTCCTGGGAGACCTTGCAAACCGGACGAGCTTACTGCCTGAAGGAGCATGGGACTCATTATGGGATGCACAGGGAAGAGCAGTTGGGGATTCTGTAATACTAATGGGATGCTTTTAAGGTGATTGATGGGACATGTAAGATATTATGTGACGCTTAGGGAAAGGACCAAAGGAGGAAAAAGAAGGATCAAGATGGCTTGGGGAGGAATAAATGTGGGAAAGCAGAGGGAAAAGTGGATAAAAAGAGCTGGTTGAGTATAAACAGGTTGCTAGTCAGTATATTTCTCTGATGGAGCCCTTCACTTCAACGCCGCTATGTGCCCCATCCTCTCATTAAATCCTTCTTTCAAGTGCAGGCTCTACTCTTGGTAGGTATGTGTGAACACCAGTGAACTTCACACTGGATTCACCAGTAAGATAAGAGGTCTGGATACCAGCAACCAGAGCATGGCTGCAAACCTCTGGGTTTCCCCTGTCTGGATGCCAGCAGCAGGGGAGGCCACTGAGATTTGGGCCAGGTATTGGATAAATTATCTATGCAAATATATGTATGTGTGTGTACGTGTGCTGCTTGAATACTGATCAGCTGGTGAACAGGATCAGGCTGTCAAGTGCTGCTCACGGTTCCCCTGACTGCCCACAGGGCTGTTCCCTGGCCCATGGGCCCCATCCCACACCACTATCAGGCTCCTCCCAGCCAGGGGCAGGACTCGGCATTTGCCCAGGTCCCTCCAAAGGGTGGCCCTCCCCTCCAGCATATATACAGCTTCTCCAATTTGATATCATCTCTAAGACTTGCCCTGGCCTTGCCATCCCCTCATCCAGCTTAAGATCTTAAATTGCCGTGCCCTAGCGTTGCCCTCCAGGGACATCACTGCCCACCAGCCAACCACGGGACACCAGACCGTTGAAGACAACCCTCAGAGCCCAGTGATCCAGTCTACCTTTAAGCCCACAAATCCATAGCTCACCACGTGGGCACCAAGTACACCATGCTGGAAGTCTTGCTAATGTCAAGCTGCCCAACCTCCAGTGCGCTTCCCTTTTCTGCAGAGGCTGTCATCTCTTCAGAAAAGGCAATCAGGCACCAATGGGCCAGGCAGAAGTTGTCAGTGTTGGTCATTTCCCCTCCATCCAGTTCTTGCGAAATATTCTTCCTCTCTACCATCTGCTGGGACTGAGGAGAGGCTGATGGCCAGTCATTCCCCAGACCCTCTTTACACTTCTGGAAGATGGTGCAATGCTAGCCTCATGAACATCCCCCAGTCACAGCCTTTCACAGTTAGAGAGGGGAGCCTACAGTGAGATCAGCTCCCTCTCCAGCCCATGGTTTCCTTCCTCTCCCTGTGCTGCTGCAGCACTCAGGGAAGCTTGGGTTTTTCAGAGGAAGCCCTTCACGGCAACTTGAATCTGTGGCCCCTCCTCCTGTGACTGTGCAGTTGTGGAGATAAATCTTGTTTAATTTGCAAATGCATTACGTGAGGAATTCCGAAAATTGCCCTGACCTTTACAGACAGCACCACAGAGGAGCAGTGGCTTATTAGGCATTCATCACAGGCCGCAAAGGCTGGTGCACACAGTGTGGATGTTCTGCTGGCTTACGCAGAGCCAAGGAAAACTAGTTTATTTTTTTCTACAGAGCAGAAATACAGATATATAGTATTCCAAATATAAATAGATATGAATAGTTTGGTGGGTTTTTTTTTCTTAAATCTGAATTTACAAGAGTCTCTTCTTAGCTCAAGCTTCTCCACAATCAGGACCATACTGGACGTAAGTTACAAGCTTTGAGCAGCAGTGAGCTGCACTGACCGACGCTGATCTAGTGAAATCTTGTAGAGGATGCTATAGACCACTGTAACTGGCTGAACCTGGCTCTGACCAGCAGGCAAAGATGTTGAGTGGAAAAAAATGTGCCATAAATACACAACACCCCTACTCAGAACACATTTACGGAGGAGTCTGGGCCTGTGCACAGGATGCTCCTGAGGAAGCTGCAGCCCAGGCTGATACCACACCACAGCAGGGACCACAGAGGACTTGGACAGAAGAAACTGGTAT